GCGAAACAGCAACGAAGCAGCCCTGATAGATTACTCAATTTGATATTGCAAGTTCTCAACTGACGTGGGTGCGGTTGGATGGCGCCGGTTCGAGCTCAGTCCGACTCCATCTAGCCAATCACGACTCCGAGACTAGAAACACGTACACGTTGGTTATTATATGAGTCATGAGCGCTTTATCGAGACGAAGTTCGCCAGTGTCTCGTCACTTCTGTTACGATTGTCTGCAGTAAGGCGGGTTGTAGCAGAAAGTGAACTGACCCACTCTTTCCGAATCTCTGTGGACACCCCTTCGGTGAGTTGGTCTAGTAGGCTGTCGGCGGTGCGTGACCCCTAACACTCATTCGGAGCTCGGTTGCTTTAAAAAGCCAATGGATCGGCGTGCGACCCCGCATCAATTATTGACTTCCTCTACCAATTAGGGTTAACATTTCACCGAATTAACAAATAATTAGTCGAAACCTCGAAATAGCTCCCCTTAGGAAACCGTTGATTTGTTGTGATTAGCTAGTAGTATAATGAAAGCTACTAGAATGCGCTCGAAGTACAGGCAGACAAATAGGACAGTTGGATTCAATAATTCCATCTAACTTCATTAAACAATTTGCTAAGATTGATGACATTTGAACGAAACTATTTCCGGCCAAACGCAAAGGGTGGGCAGCAGTTATGCGCTGGCACGTGGAATAACGTACGCTGGGACACAAGACAGGGCCCCCCATTTGTTATTAGATACAAAGATTCCAACCACACAATACCGACCGAACTTTACCTCCTTCTGTTCTGGGGTTCCGAGTTCAAAGAACTTCTGAATGACGTAATTGCCGAACACGTCCACCATAAGGTTATACGACTGAGGCAAAATTTCCCGGAAGACAGCCATTTTGTCAACCGCACTGGCTTGCTCCAACTTCTGCTGGATGAATCGAGAGCCGTACTGATCTTGGGCGAATTCAACGATGTGATTTGTGAGATCCCGCAGGGTCAGGGATGGTAACCGGGCAAACCTTTGGAGAGAACAAACAGGCATGGTGACACCCACAGAGATTAGACACCTAAGAGGACAGAAATGCTAGATGTTGAGATACCTGTCGAAAGGTGCATATAGCATTGACCACATCCACAATAAGCGCGGGATCCAGCCTCGGGTGCCTGCAAACCTAGAGATGGATAAGGCTGGCTGATGACGGTTATTAGGCCAGGAGTGACCGTCTAAGTCCCCCTCGTCTTTGTCGATAGCCTTCCTCTGCGTATATTACTAGTCGCTGTGTGATTGACTACGGGGCTCTAGGTTGGGCCTCAAAGCACAAAGGAACGAGTACGTCCCGTAACGCGATCGATGAAGGACCGAGTCTCTAGGCCACCGCCGCTAGGTGTGCGCATAGGTCTGGGCCCAGATGATCAGTTTTCAGTGACTGAATGAAAGCAAAAGAACCACGAAAAGGTGCTGTCAAAATCTACTCGCATATCTGTCGATGGTGCAACAATGATCCCACATCCTTGGTACATCCGGCCGACAGGTAAGAGGATAGTCACTTTTCTGGGAGCTTTACTTACTCAGTCAGGCCTTTTCCACTCAAAGCCGCTATCGATCGAAATATGTTTCCTTCAATCAGGGGTGGGTTT